CCCCCCCCCCCGCCTAGAGTTTGGGCAGGCATGGAGATAAAACACTCGATTAGTAGTTATTGTGTATCTATTCGACCAGTCGAGAGGGCAAAGAAACACGACGACGGCGATGAATATGAGAAGGTTTGAGTAGAGAAGTGGAAGGTTTTGGGACGGTAAGGCTAAGAATATCTGAAGCCAGAGACTGGGATGTAAGAGTTGAAGTAAGTACAGGCGGAACCAGGGAGGCGAAAGTTTGGTGTAAAAATTAGAAAGTTAGCGGTAAATAGTTGAAGGCTGTTGATGTCGGTTCGGCTGCTTGAGTTCCGGATTGAGATTTCTACTCATTCCATAGTATTCTTTCGGTGTCGTCTCCATGCTGGACTTTGACTTATCAATGACTGCAAGTAGCCTGCAAATGCCGAATCTCCTCACGAGAATCGTTTTTGGTAAGTCAGACGGCTGACTTTTATGTTTGGTGGTTGGGGTGTGCGATAGACTTACCTCCACGTGGGGCACCCTGGGCAACGTATACTCATACGGTAAAAAAGTCTATTTATCGGCAGTTGACTTCAAACTACCATGGCTCGACTATTTGTCATATTCGACCCCTTCCACAGTTCTCATCTTACCTTTTTCTCTACCTTTGTGTCTGTCTGTCTTTTTAAAATCTTTAAACACTCTTCTGTTCAACCCCCCTAGACTTTTTTCGATTTGATGTTCCTCTTCCTCTGTGAAGCTTGAAGTCAACTAATGGGCTAATGATAACTATCATAAAGCTTGCCATTTGATATAAATAAATTTGTAGCAAAAGCGAGATGTAATGACAAAAAACTACGCCTCCCCACTCTACTCACATTCCTGCTTAAGACAATTAGATTAATGCACTTAATACAATAATAGACTCATCACGCCCACTCACTCAGCCTTCACGGGGGGGGGGGTATTTGAACCGAATTGTTCAGTGAGTCCTTTTTAAGAGTGAGAGGTTGTGACTGTCTTGTTCTAATTTCCTTGAGTAGCATCAAGCCTTTATTGGCCTTCAACTTCTTCACTTCACAGGATAATTATGAATGGATGGTGGAACAATTTTAGTGTTGAGATATTAACCGAACAATTGGATGCATCTATTTGATTAGATAAGACAATAAACTACCAAGATTTGGGTAATTGATTAATTTTAGGCTGAGGACATAGTATTTTGGTGAAATTTTTTATTAAATATAAGAAGGCATTGAATCTATTCCGTTGTATTTATAATTTTGGTAAATTAATTTAAAAGTAAATGTATTTTCGTAATCTGAAAGATTTATAAGTTCATCGTGTGTTCTTTTATATCGTTTCGACTCTTCCATGCCGTGATCAAGTTCCACCACTAAGAGAGGAGCCATGAATTTGTCATTTATCATAATTTATTTATTTTTTGTTTTTTTAAATAAGTCGATTTGTGTCTCAATGACAGTGGGAATTGTTTGGACTAACTGTTCAAGTATTAGAGTTATCAGGCAGTTGTGACACCTCGTGGTGGAATCCTACGTATATTTTGTAAACAAATAAATAACGGTATTTAATTATCAATTTATTAACAAATAAGATGTAATGAAAAGAATTGTGAAATAGTGTCTTCATAGAGAACATTGGCTAAAATACCCATATAATCAAAAATTTTATTGTCACAGCATTTTTTTTGTAAATTCAAATAATACGAAGGCACTTTATTCCTTAAGGTGCGTGTAATATTTATTTACATTAAAATAATAAATCATGATCAAATTGTCTTTTGTGCATAATATTTTAAAAAAAGTCTTAATCTTTACTGTTTGTTAACTGAAAGTGCCAATAACAATAACATTTGATGACTTCGTTGTGATATTGAGAGTTAATTACTTGTGCACAGCAATTCTAATCAAGTTACTAGCCTCGTCCTCTGATGATCCTGTCTCTTCCGTTTCGGATTAAGTTAGACCAACGTGACTTTGACACGCACCTCTTCTTGTTCTCTTATATTATGGATATTCTTTTCATATTTTATGGCGTGTGTGATAGACTTACCTCCGCGTGGTGCTCCCTGGGCAACATATACCCAAAGGGCAAAAAGTCTATTAACCGACAGCTGACTTCTCACTTCAAACTGCCATGACACCACTGGCTGTATGTCATATTTCACCACTTTCACAGTACTCATCATACCTTTTCTCTGCCTTTGTATCTGTCTGTCTGTCGCTCGACTTTATTCACTTTGATGTTCCTCCTCCCTCTGTGAAGCCTGAAGTCAACTAAAGGGCTAATGATAACTATCAAAACGCCTGAAATAAATAAATAACTAAATATTATATTTTGTTCAAGTGATGTTACTATGGTTTATTAGCCAACTAAATATGTTAGAATTAGAAAGTCTTCTCCGTTCCGCAAATACAGAATAAGGAATACATAGTGGGGGTTCCATTGCGGCTTGAAACGCTTCCTTAGAGAATGTTGGCTAGTTAGTAGTTGCCATGATAACTCAAGGTACGGCAACAATTTATTTTAAAAGCGACTATCCATTGTGGAATTTAAATATATCTTACTCAAAGCAATGTCTGGCAGTTAGAATCCAAGACGGACTGATAAGTGAACCTCCGCAGACATGACCAACGAGTTTTGAATGACTGGTGCGCGATGAACCGTTGGTTGGTGCAGAAGCTGCCTTCATCTTCTGCAATTTTAACAATTGTTCGAATAACTTTGGATTTGCTTGAAGTTGTTCTATTAAGTATTCCAGGCGATCATCGCTTCGTCTTGATATTGAGTTCCTAGTCTGCAGAAATGGGGGAAAATAAACGATCTTAACAGCTTTGAGATGCAGTTTCTATCTGACGAGTATTTTGCAAATACATATAGCACTTTTCCATAGATATTTAATACAAATTACTCCTATGATATTTAATTCAATTTAATGAGGGGTGTGCTATAGACTTGCCTCCACGTGGTACACCCTGGGCAACGTATACTCGTATGGCAAAATGTCAAATTAACTGGCAGTTGACTTCTGACTTCAAACTACCATCACCCCACTGTATGCCATATTCGACTAATTCCACAGTACTCACTTCACCTTTTTTCTACCTTTGTAACTGTCTTTCTTGCATCTGTGAATCACCCTTCTGTTCCCCTCCCCTCTCAACTTTTTCTCACTTTGATGTTCCTCCTCCCCTCTGTGAAGCCACTTTGATGTTCCTCCTCCCCTCTGTGAAGCCCGAAGTCAGCTAAAGGGGTAATGATGACTATCAAAACACCTGTCATTTGAAATAAATAAAGTTTATGAACCTTAATGATTGCCAGGTACAATTTTTCTTAAAATTATAACGTGGAGATATTTTGGGTTTCATTGGATTACCTAAGCCACTCTGTTATTGATAAGAATGTTATAACTCAAATAGGGCCAAAATTTTAAAATAAAACAGTGTCCTGTACTCACAATATCTTGAGCATTCACTGCTATTGACTTTAAGATTGTCGAAAGGAGCAAATGCAGGAATGCGAATATAAAAAGTAATTGATTTAACGTTCTAAAGGTAGGTGTTCTGATAACTTTTTCTAGTATCTCATCTACAAGATAACAACTTGTAAATATTTTTAACTTTGGTCAACAGAACTTAAGGAAATTTCCTTTTAAAAAACTACGCCTATTATTGATTATTTTGATAGCTAATTTTGTTTTTTTAAAGTACTCAACTCCAGTGAAAGTACCGATTTTATTGCGCGACCTCTTCCATTGGCCTATTTTATAATTCATGGACGAAAATATTTTGATAATTAAATCTACATTTTATTGCTCTAAACAATATATGTATATTTATATGGGGAACAAAAGATTTTCTCCCCTTGGTGTCAAATAGGTTTATTTTTATTACTTGAAATATATTTAGACGTGAGTGTATTGGTCTTAAGCACGACATTTTATTGTAACTAAGGCATCATCAATCTCAGCCGAGATATTTCTCTAGTCCGACTGAGATACTCCCTTTTATTCAAGCCAGAATGCCAAGAGGTGACAGCTGAAGATCTCATTGAAAGACTAGAGAACTTGGAGGGTTCTTGGAAAGTGCAGAAAAGTGGTCAAATGTGGTTGTTTAGGCAGACTGTGCGATTGCAAGCGAATGCAAGCGTTGAATGCGTCTAAATTGACGTTCTGAAAAGTGAATATTCACATCAAGACCCCCTCTTTAATTAGAAGAAGAAGAAGATACTCCATTTTGGAAGTATTCAGTTTAAACCAACGCTTAAATTATGAAAAAGTTAGTATATAAAATCGTATTTCCAAAATAACATTTCCGAAATGAATGTTCAGGTTGGACTGGTTCTTCGACTCCATTTTAATTTTGGAATAATTTTTGAAAGGGTAATGTGCCACCTCTGTTCCTCATCAATTAAATGGGAAAATTGGCTAAATTGAACAGCAAAACTTGTATAAATGCAGGACCAAAAGTCTGATAAGACCAAATATTTTCAACCAAAACTAGTTAATTCCTGAAAATTTTATCTTTCGATAAAGAAAAACTTCCATGCAAACCGCTCGTTCTATGTAATGTGCTAATGGATATGATTTTTCATACAAAGCAGTCCATTGAACAACGTTTCTTTAAAAATCAATTTTGGTCCTCGAAATTAGATATCGAAATCAGAAAAATACGCAAAAATGAGCTCTCATTTTAGGCTGTTGAAATTTAAAAGAGACTATCCATTTGCCAATTTTCAACATTCCTTAAATAAATAGGTTTATTTTACTAATGATTCACGCCTTATTCTTCTATTCCATTAATTTTTTCACGAAGCAAATATTGTGTATGAATTATTAATAATAGTCTAAGCATAGGGAATTAAATAAATAAAATAATTTTATATAATGGAATACAGAGGCTAATTAAGAGAAAATTCGGAATTCTCATAAAAATTATTCATGGGATACTATGTTTTTTTGCATGCTTGTGATAATTCAATAAAGGCATTAATAGTGTTGGTAAAAGGTAAAAAAATGATTTTTTTTTGCACAATATGAACAATTTTGACTTTATGCTTTAGATGAAAAAATTTCAAATTCATACCGGTTCTTCAGATTTAATTTGGATTGAAACGAGCCACGGCCACTCAAACTGTCGCGATTCAACGCCGCCAACAATGCGCTTGGAGACGTCAGTTGAATGATAGCGGCTTCGGCCACAGTGTTCCCTAATAGCTTTTTGAATTGAAAAAAAAATTAAAATTAAAATTAAAAATCCTCTCTTCATTGATTATGCATTATATAAATATATCGGTTTCTGGGGTGCGCAATAGACTTAATTCCACATGGTGCACACTGGGCAACGTATACTCATCCGGTAAAAATGTCTATCGATCGGCAGTTGACTTCTGACTTCAAACTACTATGGCCCGACTATTTGTCATATTCGACCCCTTCCACAGTACACACGTCACCTTTCATCTGCCTTTGTGTCTGTCTGTCTGTCTCTTTTACATCTGTTCCCCCTCTCGACTTTTTGTTACTTTGATGTTCCTTCACCTCTTTGTGAAGCCCCAAAGTCAGCTCCAGGGCTAATTATAAATGTAAAAACGCCTGACATTTGATATTAATAAATAAATATATCGGTTTCTGATTAAGCTTACTTCACGTCAATAATTCCTTGTCGAACTGTGTAAATTCTGCTTAGAATTTGGCATATTTAAGGATGACACTTTGGTGCAACTTTTCTACTTTTGCTATTTATAATGTCCAAATATCTTGCATAATGAGTGTCGTCAAGGTTATTTCAGGGAAACTAGAATTTTTATTCTTCATTCATATTATACGAGTCAGAACTGCACAAGGCATTTGTATAATATTCATCAATTATTATTAGAAAATTCATTTTGAGCAGATTCTAGTAAGATCTACCTTAACTTAAATTTCATTGTTAAATGAGCACACTTGGTCGTTATTGCGAGAATGGAAGTAAATATTAAAATAAGAGAAAAAAAATTTAATTGAATCAGCTGATGTAAGGATCTGAGCAAAATGAATAGTGAACTCAACCAAAATTTCAGAGATCAAATTATGTTAATTATGCCTCTTTGAAGGTATTGATAGGTATACCGAATGTTAAAGTGATTAAAATTATAAATTATATTGAACAAAATGGGGTGTGGTTTCAAATGGCAGGCGTTATGATAGGTATCATGGGGTGTGCAATAGACTTACCTCCGTGGTGCACCCTGGGCAATGTATATTTAGACTTACCTCCACGTGGTGCACCCTGGGCACCGTATACTCATACGGCAAAAAAGTCTATTAACCGGCAGTTGTTGCGATAGACTTACCTCCACGCGGTGCACCCTGGGCAACCCACTCATACGGCAAAAAAGTCTATTAACCGGCAGTTGACTTATCACTTCTCATACGGCAAAAAAGTCTATTAATCGGCAGTTGACATCTTGACTTCTGACTTCAAACTACCATGACCCCACTGTATGTTACAAAGTATACTCATACGGCAAAAAGTCTATAAACCGGCAGTGGACTTCTGACTTCAAACTACCCTCACCCCACTATATGTCACAACTTCTCACTTCAAACTACCATCACCCCACTGTATGTCATTGTGTATGCGCATACGGCAAAAAAGTCTATAAACCGGCAGTTGATCTAACCCTAACACGGCAAAAAGTCTATAAACCGGCAGTTGACCTCTGACTTCAAACTACCATGACCCCACTGTATGTCATATTTGGGCAACAGACCTCATACGGCAAAAAGTCTATAAACCGCTGGGCAACGTATACTCATACGGCAAAAAAGTCTATTAAAGGCAGTTGACTTCTAACTTCAAACTACCATGACCCCATTGTGGCAGTTGACTTCTCACTTCAAACTACCATCACCCCATTGACGGGCAACGTATACTCATACGGCAAACAAGTCTATAAACCAATGGGCAACGTATACTCAAACGGCATACCTCCACGTGGTGCACCCTGGGCAACGTGTACTTACAACCTCCATGTGGTGCACCCTGGGCAACGTATACTTATGCGGAAAAAAGTCTATTGACTGGTAGTTGACTTCTCACTTCAAACTACCATCACCCCACTGTATAGTTGACCACTGACTTCAAACTACCATGACCCCACTGTATGCCTTGACTTCTGACTTCAAACTACCATGACCCCACTGTATGTTACAAAGTATACTCATACGGCAAAAAGTCTATAAACCGGCAGTGGACTTCTGACTTCAAACTACCCTCACCCCACTATATGTCACAACTTCTCACTTCAAACTACCATCACCCCACTGTATGTCATTGTGTATGCGCATACGGCAAAAAAGTCTATAAACCGGCAGTTGATCTAACCCTAACACGGCAAAAAGTCTATAAACCGGCAGTTGACCTCTGACTTCAAACTACCATGACCCCACTGTATGTCATATTTGGGCAACAGACCTCATACGGCAAAAAGTCTATAAACCGCTGGGCAACGTATACTCATACGGCAAAAAAGTCTATTAAAGGCAGTTGACTTCTAACTTCAAACTACCATGACCCCATTGTGGCAGTTGACTTCTCACTTCAAACTACCATCACCCCATTGACGGGCAACGTATACTCATACGGCAAACAAGTCTATAAACCAATGGGCAACGTATACTCAAACGGCATACCTCCACGTGGTGCACCC